ATAGGGAGAGAGAGAGAGAGAGAGAGAGAGAGAGAGAGAGAGAGAGAGAGGTCTCAGACAGACAGACAAATCAATCTGAGATCCTGAGCCTTATACCTGTCAGGCAAGCACTCTACCACAGCCACAACCCAAGCCCTACTTGGTTTTTCCTTTTTGGATCTTGAGACAGGCTCTCATTACGTTGCCTAGGCTGGAGCCCGACTTCTGATCTTACTGACTCAGCCTCCCAAGTAACTGCCACGGCAGGCATGCACCACTGACCTGAGAGTAACCGTTAATAAATGAATGGCTGTTTCCTGCGGTAGCTCTGTGAGGCAGGGGCTTTCCCTCTTCCCATTCATAGATGAGGGTGTTGAGACAATGTGTACCAGTATACAGCACCAGTGGGAGTTTTGTGTTCTAGTCACCGCGGTGCCTCTAGGTATATGGAATAGTGTGCAACACACTGAATAGTTCTTAAATGAAAACAAAAAATAACTCGGTCTATTCAAGCCATAGAGTGCTGTAAGACAATATTTAAACATTTAGATCTATAGCACTCGCTTCTTTTTCTCTTCCCTGTGGAAGTTGTTGAAGGCCCTGGAAGCACTGCGGTAACCGTAAGAGAGTAGTAACAGTGCGGGAGCCGGCGGCCCCTTCTCCCAAACTCCTCAGTTGAGAGCGGCACGTTGGCTTTGCCTGTTTCTCTCTATTTACCGTGCTCTTCTCTGAACCATTTGTCAGGAAGTTACAGCTAACGTGACACTTCCCCTAGACTCCTCAGCCTGTGACTTCTGAGGGACAAGAATGCAGTTTTGTACCTAAGAAAATTAAGATTAGTTAAAATTGCCTCAGCTGTCACCAGAGTTCAGGCCTTTCCCTCAGCTGGTGTCCCCCCGAGGACCATGCTGGGCCTTTGCCTGCTGCCTCTTCCGAGGCTCTCCCGGCCCTGTTCCGCAGGGCTGCTATGTGGGAATGCTTAAGACAGCTGCAGTTTTTTTTTTTTCTCCACAGCCTCATCACGCTGGCCAACCTTCCTCCCTCGGGGTTAGCCAATGCAGTAGCAGAAGGGATTCGCTCAGAGGAGAACATCTACACCATCGAGGAGAATGTCTATGCCACTGAGGAGAACGTCTACACCACCGAGGAGGGCACCTACACCATGGAGGAGCACATCTACAGCACTGAGGAGAACGTCTATGAAGTGGAGGACCCAAGTGACCACTACTGCTCCGTGGTCAGGGCCTGATCACTCCGGCTTCTTATCTTTCCGTGCTGTTGGGTTCAGCCCCTCCCTTGCCACCTTGGTACTGTCCTTGTCAAAAGCACTAAGTGACTGGCTTTGCAGGTCCCACCCAGGGCCTCCTAGAAGAGCAGTGCAGTTTTCAGAAGACTTGAGCTCACAGGGCAGTCACCTGCGACCTGTGCTGCCCACAGGCCAATTAGTACCTCTGTTTCCCAGCCACCGTGGCTCCCCAGTCCAGAGACTGCTGACTGTGGCTGGAGAGCTCCAAAGTGCTTTTATATGAGTGAAGAGGCTTTTGTTTTGGTACGGTTTGAGCCTAGGGTCCTACTCTTAAAAACATTTTTAAAACTATTATTTGGGGACAGATTGTTGCTAAGTCACTAAGTTGCCCAGGCTGGTCTCACATGGGCTCCTTCCGCCTCAGTCTCCCAGGGTGTTGGTGCCAAGGCACAGGCCACATGCCTGCCTAGGAATTCTCAGTACCAGGGCTCTGGAGCTCCAGAAAAGTCAGGCATGCGATGCGGCCACGCAGACCCTGAAGATAAGGAACACTGGGTGCTGAGACCTATGCATGGCTTCTGGTGTGTTTGTTTTTGTTTTTGGTATACAAATCCTAAAGGGGCCGCTGATTTTCCTAAGGTCTGTGATCCTTAGACGGTGAAGCAGGACTCGGTGGTCCTAAACCTCCCCTCTGGGTCTCAAGCTCTCGCCTGTCTGAAGGCTGTGTCTCCTGGAGTGAGTACCCCTGTGCTGCTCTCTCCTGCCTCTATAAGGAGCTGGCTCAGCAGGTCTGTGGTGTGGACAGGGGTGCGCCTTGGTGTTTGGGGCCAAGTTGTGTTTGTGTCCTCAGAGGAAAATCCTCTCCCCTTCCCCTTCTGTTTTCTACCTTTCTCTTCCTCTTTTTTTTTTTTTCCCCCTTTGTGGTAAAGCTGTGTTTTTCACAAAGAGCCGCCAGTGACTGGGTGTACATTTTTCCCAGTGGGAAGGGGGCAGAGGTGCCCAGGACTCTACTCTCAGCATCGGGAGCCATGATGGGACCCCGTGGTCCCTACAGGTGCATCTCCAGATGATAGAACGAGGTCTGTGTGCCTTTGCTGACTCCCCAGTGCTGACCTGGTTCTCATGCACAGTGGAAACTATCTTCAGAATTAAGACTAAAGTAACAGGTTAGCCTTCCCAAAAGATGTTTCCACTGGAGGGCTCAAAAAGAGCCCCACTCTTCACAAGGTCCTCGTCTGCTCGCATTTAGCTGCAGTTGTCCTAGTTTCCAATACCGCCGCCCTCTGGAGGCCCCTGGCGGGCTCGCACCCTTTTGCCTTTTTCTGTGGAGCCCTCCTTAGCTCGCGAAGAATGAATTGGCGGCGTACCCCATCACTGCCTGAACACCGCGCCTCTCCAGCTGATAGCTCCACTGTGCCCCTGTCACTCACAGGAGACCCCAGCGCTCCAGGATGAGGCGACCTGAGTGTTTCTGGTCTTCCCGGCCGTTGATGTGTGAATTTGGGTGTGTGGGCTGCATCCGGGCATTGAGGAGGACGCTGGTTTCCTTGAAGACACACAGCGGAGAGCACTTTATAATGTCACCTGCAGGCCGCAGTTCCCTTCAGGCTCAACAATCACAGCTCTTTAATGTCATGGAATTCTAATGGGAAGGAACTTCAGAACAGTTAGGGTGAGATCAGTGGTTTCCCTCAAAAGTCACCCTCATCTTATGACACTCTTCAAGCAAGCATGTATGTACACAGATGATGCCTGCAGGGGGCCATGTAAAGGACTATTTTACACTAATAGGGCAATAATGGTACGGTTCAGAGTAGCTAGGTGATGCTGGGCATGACGTCGCATGCCTGTGAGCCCAGCACTTGGGAGGCCCAGGAGGCAGGATTGCCACAAGTTTGAGGCTAGCCTGGACTACACAGCTAGCCTGAGCTACTGTCTTTGGTAAGACCCTGTCCCGAAAAATTAAAAAATAAATAAAAAGAACTGGGTGGGTTTATTTACTCTGTGTGTGTGTATGTGTGTGTGTGTGAATTCAAAAATTACGTGTGCCTTTCCATGGAGAGTGCAGCTCATGTCCGTCTACCCACCCAGTGCAGATCCATGAACCACTCGTTTTGTATGTATTTGGTGCAGGGTCTCACTATGCAGCTTGCACTCATAGTGATCCTCCTGTCCTGGTGTCCCCAATGCTGGGATGACAGGCAGGTGCCACCACGCCCAGTCTCAGTGGCAGGCTCAGCACCTGTGGGGGGTGGGGCCAGCGTGACGTGGTGCTGGGGATAGAAACCTGGTCCCTGTGCTTGCTTAAGCAGGCGCTTAGTCCACTGAGCTATCTTGCCAGCCCCATTAACCTCTTCTTCATGCCAAACAACTAGGACCTATCAGTGAGCAAGTTGATTAGCGATGCCTGCTCTCGTGGAGTGTGTACTAGTCACAGGAAAAAGGCTATATTAAATCAGAAGAAAAAAAGTTACAGAATTGTATTTATATTCAGGGAGGTATTTTTGTTGTTTTAAAAACTATGGAATGATGGGCCTGGCAATGCATACCCGTAATCTGAGCACTCAAGAGGCTAAGGAGAAGGGGCTCACTGCAAGTTTCAACCCAGCCTGGGATACACAGTGAGTTCAATGCCAGCCTGAACTATACACAGTGTGACTCTCTCTCCAAAACACAAAACAGAACCAAACCAAAAAATTCTAAAATAATATGGCTTCACCGTGGGGACAAAAGTTTGAGGCAGACCTTCACTTTTTCCTTTGACATGCTTTTGCTAGAGTTTGAATTATTGTTTCATTTTATTTTGCAATAAAAATTTAAATTTATTTTTAAATAAATTTCAACACTGCTATTTATAATAGCAGTATTTCCGTATCTCTTCTCTACCCCATTGGAAAAAAAAAAATGAAGACTTTGATAGGTTATGTTCAAGGGCAAGGTCAGTGGGAGACTGTAGCATTCTGTCAAGACTGGAATCCGGTTTTCAAGATAGGATTCTCTCTACCTTAAACATTTGGAATGGAGAAGGTGGCATAGAGTAGGGGTGGGAGTAGTCCCTACAAAGAGCCTAAAAACTCAGAAGTAGTAATATGAAAATTAAAAATAACCAGTTATGGTGGTGAACACCTGGGATGCCAGCACTCCATAGGCTGGAGCAGGAGGATCGCTGTGAGTCAGAGCCAGCCCAGTGTCTCTGGACTACAGAGACACTGACACAGAACCACTGACCAGTCCTGGAGTAAGGAGCTGCGAAGGTTTGCGTCTTGCTTAAGTCATAATGTCATTTTCTAAGAACTTTCAACTTTTAAGAACCAAACCTGTGTGTAGCGGCATGTATCTTTAATCCCAGCACTTGGGAGGCTGAGGCCCGAGGTGAGGTTCACCATGAGTTCATGGCCAGCAGGGGCATGGTAGTGGATTCAGTGTCAGCCTGAACTGCATGGTGAGAGCCTGGATTAAAACAGTAATAATAAAAATAATTATAACAAATCTTCACTCTGCTTCCAAGACTATGAGCTTAATAACCCTATATTCTTTATAAATTAACCAGTCTGTGTGAATATAGAAGTATTAGATGAGAATTATAAAGTGTATTATATTAGGTTTTGGGGTTATGTTTCTAAGAAAAAAAAAACTTTGTTGTTAGTTTTGTTGGTTTTATGTAGAATACTACAATCCAAAGGTCTTTAAAACTAAGAAGTTTTAGATAATTGTCTACATTTTTTTAAAAAAGCACTGATTTTGTAAGGAGCTAAATGTTATTTGGGGTTGTATAAACTGTCACATTTATATTTGGCATTTTCATATTTGGCATTTAAATGGTACCTGAACCTAAATATCGTTTAAGAAACTGTAACAGATAATGGTCCCCTAGCCAATATACTTTGGTCTTTTGGTTTCCCAGGTAACAGTTCCTGTTACTACTTGAAACAACTGCTCACTATGACACATACAGTAAGAACAAGTCAAAGACAGCCAGGCACTCTGCTTCTTGCTTGAAGCCCATGGACACTTTCCCTGAGCCTTTGGGGCCTGCTGTTTTGGAGTGATTCTAATCACTGCCTGTTGCCATAAAATAAATCTGCCTGCAAATGCTGGGTGTCATCTCGATGCTCCTGCTTGTCATTGCATCTGGTGCATCCCAGGAGACCACCCATGCTGACCTCTTTGGTCAGTGGTCATGGCCCTTGCCAAGGATGCAATGGCCTCTCCAGGTCCTGATGGGAAGGCACATCCTTGAGATTTCTTGAGTCTCCTCAGAGATTTGGGGGAGGATTCCAGGCTCACTCAAGGAGCTCATATTGGACCCCAAAAAGGAGGATACATTTGTCTATGTACCTGCCTGCCCGATTCCAGTAAGATCTGGGGCACCCCAGTTAGCCTGTCTGTCAGTCCTGCTCAGGTGAGCAGAAGGCGAGTCTGATCAACTTTCATTAGTCAACCCTTGAGGCAAGGGGGCTGGAGGGTTTAACCTCTAAGTGCCCATTGAATGAACATGTGCATGAGTGGACAGGCAGTATAAGCACTAGGCTGCCCATCTGCGCCCCAAGCTGGAAGCACTGGTCACAGTGACCGACGGGGCCTCACCTGTGGTTCTGTGGCAATCGACATATAGCACAATGGAGGACTCGCACCCTCCTCACTAAGCCAGGCCTAAGTCCCCGTGAGGTGCATGGTCAGGTAGGCACCTGAATGGTCTCTCTCTAGGAGGGACACCCTTCCTTTGTCTGTTTTGACATCATTCGAGGGACCCAACATATATAGGAAGTCAGAGAAAAAAACATTGAGAAACTGTATGTGCCAAATGACCTTGGAAGTGATCCATTCTTCCAGAATTTTCTCTTCTTTCTTTCTTCTCTCTTTCTTTCTTTCTTTCTTTCTTTCTTTCTTTCTTTCTTTCTTTCTTTCTGGAATGGTTCCTAATAAACATAGGCATATTCATAAATTTGAAAGATCAGTTTTTATAAGCAGTGATACAGAGAACAGATACCGGGATCCGTGTGCCTGGATTTCAATGCCAGCCTTGCCGTGAGTTGGTTCTGAAACCTCAGAGGAGTGTCGGGCTCTCTCTAAGCTTTACTGTCCTCTAATATGTGGCAATAACAATACTATCTGTCCTTTAAAATGGTGATGACAGTAAAGCACATAGTACAGAGCCTGTCTGACACGGGGCATCGCTGATTATTGGGGCTTATTACATGAGCGTGTGGAAGGACAAATAGGTATTCAGTTACTTAGCTTTAAGTGCGATTAGAAAGTGATGTTCTATCTAGCACTGCATTGGTTCCTATAGTAACAGTCCCTGGGGGAGAAAGAAGCAGCATACAGTGGCTTACACTTGAGAATTAAGGCTCCAGAAATAAACCCTGGAGCCTCGCAAGCAGAGTTGCCAGCTCCAACCTAGACAGCTGTTCTGACGGTTACTCCAGAGGCTGGCATGTCCTCAGCCAGTGTGAACACTTGCTATGGAAACACAAACAGAACAGGAGCTGGGAAGGTCCGGGAAAACCAGCCATGTGCCCAGCGCATCTTACTGGGTGTAGACTGGACCATCCGTGGCATAGCATGACAGCACTGCATGAACCGAAACCCTCCACTGTCCCCTTCTATACCAGACTTAAGCTGCCATACACATGGATTAGCTCCATCTTGGAAGATAAAAAGACAAAAAATCTCTCCTTCTATGCTGTGGGAATAGCAAGCTCTTTGGGAAGGGACTCTTTCCAATGTCTCTCCCCTTAGAATGGATGTAAGCATGAAGTCCTGTTTATTTAATACGACTATGTAATTCATGGCATTTCAGAGTGGCCAACAGTTGAGGTCTTGCAGTGAACCCCTAGTTTATTCTTACCATCATCCCTCTATAATTTTTTCCTTAAATTATTTGTATTTTGAGGCTGATATTACAACAACCATGAGATATTTAATCCTTTTTGTCTCACTTATTTCACTTAGTACTATGATCTCAAGACCCTTCCATTTTCCTACACATGACTAAACTTTTCCTTCTGCCTGAGCAGTACACCACTTGGCATATATACCACATTTCCTTTATGCATTCATCAGATGAAGGGCAGGTAGGCGTGCTTGGTGGCAAAGCCCTGGCTTTTAATCACTGCCTTAGTATGAAAACTGAGCCAGAGCTGTGTGGCCTGACAGCCCTGGGTTCAAATTCCCCTTTAATGCCAGAATCCCACCATCAACCAGTATCATGGCTCACACAGCTCACATTCAAACAGAATCTGAAAGGCAAAACAAATTAATTTTGTTGACAAAGTTTAGTACTTATCAAGTAGGAGGAAGACATGATATTTGTTTTCCTTCAGAGAAAAATAATACTATAGCTACACTTCACCAGCACCAGGCACTGTGCCAAGGTATTTGGTGAAGCGTCTCATCCATCACTCAGCACAGCTGTCGCCAAGTGGGGCTGAGGCCCTACACCGACGGAGAGGCTGAGCCTTCAGGATGGAAATTATTTTATATCAAGCGTATTAAATGAAACTGTCCTCACGTGAAATGGGAGGTATTTACAGCTGGGGATCGACTCAGCACTGCTGGGGAGCTGGCTTAGTGGAATAAGTGCTTCCCTGACAAGCGCAAGGGCTTGAATTCAATCTCCAGTTCCACCAAAAAAAAAAAAAAAAAGAAGATTGGCTCAGCACTGAGATCCTCAGCCGTCATCTGATTCTGGCTTCTGGTCTCACTGATGAAATTAAGGATGAGCGAACCTTGGTGAGTACACACTGTCGTCAAACACCAGGCCTGGCATTTTAGGTGTACTTCCTTATTTAAATCTGGTGAGCTTTGATTTATGAGACTGATGACATTGTGTGGTGGGACTTACCTACTTCTGTCTCATTTTAGAGAAAAAAGCTGTATAGAGTTTCAGTGAGATACTAGGATTTGGACCAGAAATAGGGTAAAATGAGCTACCTGGATTCATGTGACTCTGCATGTGTACCCCTCTGGGGTCTGCTGATAAAGCGATCCAGGAGTTACAGGAGGAATTTGGCTGTTCCTGCTGGGGCTGGAATCTGAGAACACTGGTGGACTGTATTTCAGCTGAAAAGGGACCTTACACCCA